GGGACATGGCCGTGCTATGTCACCGTGCCGAGCTGGCGTTCCTGCCATGTCACCCCGTTTTCTTCCACGTGTCGCACAACCAAGGGGTCGGGCCAAATTTACCTCCATCATGTTCTATTGCACCGGCTTGAGTTTCTGGGTGGGGGGGGACGTTAAGATATGGCATTGGTTGTTAAGATATGATAATGGTTGTTCCTTGCCGTGATTACAATAATCACAAATTTGATCTAGATTTGATTTAGTTTCCTTTTGTACAATTTCCTTCTTTTGTGCAGCCCAGTTGTATAAATATTTTTACCTCTGCCTTTGTACACACTATGCAAGATTAATACACAGTTATTAACAAAATTGTTCACTCTCCTCTGTCTTTGTTTCTCCATTATCAGTATAGTTTAGCCTTTTTTTTTATAGGAACACATAGGGGCTACACATGATGGGGGTGGCTCTTCCCCCTAGATCAGAACAACAAATAAAACCAAGATCAAAAGGAATGCAACCAGGAAGGGTTGAACAACCAACAACAGCACTCTAGGTCAGCCAACCTGCAGCTTGATTCGCCTCGCGATACGTGTGACTGAAGTTGATGTTCAAATTGGACCTGCCATAAAAATTGATGATGCTTTCCAATCTCCATGGGGGCTTTGCCTTTCCTTTGAGGCAATCAATCAAAAGCTTTAAATCTCCTTCAATGATGATATGGAAATTGCTATAATTAGTTGCAGTGTTGATCGCTTCCCACGCTGCCCAGGCTTCAACAAGATTTATCAAAGTAGTGCCATTGCTATAGGCCTTTATGTCAAGAACAAATCTTTGGTGATTTTTGACAAAGCAGTGGCATCAAAGTTGATTTTAATGGAATTGAAGGAAGGGGGGGGACCCAACCAATGAACTTCCATTCTTTGGCACCAAAATGGTCTTTTGAAAGGGAGTTATTTACCTCAAACTAGTAACCAAATGATTTATCAATTATACTCTAAGGAGGAGCCAAATTATTGTTGAAACACTTTTCATTTCTATTTTTACATATGCACTAGAGAATGCATGCTATTTTTTCTCTGAACAATTGTAAGGTGATTAGAACCATTGTAATTTGGTAGAGACCCCCCGATTATGTAGCCCTTCAAAAGATATCATAAGAGAAGGATGATGCAAATGACCTCTGTCCCAAATCACAAATTTTTATTAAGGGATTGCTTGGTAGTGTGGTTCAACAAAGCATATATCTGTTAAGAGGTTTTGCATTTTTTAAGGAAGCCTCAACATTTGGTACAGGTTTCAAGCATTGTGGGACTTATGACTATGTAGTAGTTTTTGATCGATTACAATCATATTTTGCCAAAGTGTGGGCCACAAGCCACGTTTTTGCCTATACATGGGACAATTAAAATATTTGCATTGTGGCTGATAATGTGGATGTTTTATTAGACAAAATTCTTAATAGTAGGAATGGCAATGAGGCAGGATCATATTCTCCGCTCCCGTCCCTGTTTTAGAGATAAATCCCTATCTTTGATCCCGATCCCCGTTGAAGATAAAAATTGTCCTCCATCCCTGATCTCCGGTGGAGGTGGGTTTCTTGTAGAGACTTGAATCCCCAAAATTTTCTAATTAACAGAATTACTTGAAAATTAAATTTAATTAAAACAAAAAAATTAAAATATAAATACTATTTCAAACTTTCTATGTTAGAAAGTTGTATTGCTTACAAACAAATTCTTAGTGATTTTTATAATGCAAAAATGCCACACAATCCTATACTTGAGGAATATTAGGAAATGACAATTTGTACAAAAGATTTTTTTATAAATTTTATTTTATGATGCAACTAATGAATTTTCATGTGTTTATTACTCAACTAATTGTCTTTTATTTAATCAATTAATTATAATTAGTGAATGTTTTGCAAAATATAGGAAAAATCCACAATTTCAAAGTATTATTGAAATAATGAAAAATAAATTTAAAAAATATTGGGAGAAAATTTCTCCCCTTTATTGCTTAGCTATAATATTTGATCATAAGATTGGGAATGATGGTTTTGAAATTTTACTTGAATCATATTGTGAAAATAAGAATATTGAAATTGGAAATAAAATAGAAGTTAATAGTTTATTATTTTAAATGTGTAGTTTATATGAATCTCATGTGGGTGGGCATTGGAAATCTTGTACAGGTGCAAGTTCCACTTCTAAAACAGCTAGTTCCAGTAGTGGATTAGACAAAATTTAGTCTCTAATACATAAGAGGCAGAAATCTACTACCAGTTCATCAACAAGTTCATTTGTTAAACATAATTTTTATTTATAAGCAAGTATTTCTATTTTAACTGATTAATACGACAATGAGGGATGAGATAATTTTGACATTTTAGCCTATGGAGAGGGCATGAAAAAAACTATCCAGTCCTTTCCGCCATGGCACGTGATGTACTAACTCCTCCGGTGTTTACAGTTCCATTAGAGTCTTATTTTAGTGTAGGTATTAGGGTGTTAGACGACAAGAGAAATTGTATGAATGATGAAAGTATGGAGATGTGCATCTACCTTAAAGATTGGTTGGATCCGGAGGATAGATTACAAGACAATGGAGGGCATGACATTACAATTATTGTAAGTGGAGGTGGAGGTGGTTAGATGAAGATGATGGCAAACAAGGAGATGATTAGATGAAGATGCAGGTGGAGATAGAATTTGAAGAAAAATGGTGAAGCCAATATTTTTTATTTTTTTGTATACTCATATTTCATCATTTTTAATTATTGTATTTTTTTTCAATTTTATTTAAATTAGTTGTTATTTTTTCAATAATGTAATTTTTTATTTTCAATTTATAATTGTATTATATTTTTTATATTTTATTCCATTTTCTATATTTCATTCATCCATTATCCATTGATTATTTTATTGCTCAAATTCAAGAAATAAAATTCCTATGTTTTCCAATTTGTTGCCCAATTTGTATTTTGTTAAGTATTTAAGTATTTTTTTAATTTCTTTGTTAGATTTTTTATTTTTCCAATTTGTTTCCAAAGCTCAAAGGAATTATTGAATTAAGGAAAGTGAAGTATTTTAGCAAAAAATAAAAAAAAAATCAAAATGTCAAAAAAAAAACAATTTGGCCTGATTCGGTCCAAGCTCATGACATGGCTCGGCTCAGCATGGGCCCGCACAGGCTCAGGCCAACCCCTCGAAGTATCTCTAGGAAGGGAAGCATGGCCCGACCCGACCCACACTTTGCATGGCCCGATTTACACCTCTACCCCACGATAGCTATTTATAGTTGTTCGGGGTGGGGGTGGTGCATTTTGAAGATACTTGTAAATGTGTATTTGCTTTGCACGTGGCAATTCTAGATATTAATCAAATGCAGATTGCAAGTTTGGTTGGCTAGATTCTTCTTTTTGTAGCATTTTATCTTTTTGGTGTATCTTTTTTTTTGTTAATTTATCATAGAAATATAAGATTTAAATAGAGGGAATTAAATGAAGTGAAAAGTAGTATTTCAGTTTACAAATTAAACCTCACAATTAAATAGAAACTAAATTCAAAAATGAGTATTTTAGTCAAAAGAAAGTTTACAATCTTATTCATATTTTTAATAGTAGTGTAAATATAGAATTATAGACGTGTTCGTTTTTTTTTGTAAGTTTTTTTTTATATTTTTATGTGTAAAAATAATTCTAATATGTCACACTTACTTTTTGTTTAATATGATAAATATATGATATTATATATATGCCTTAATGTTTTTTTTGCAAAATTTATGTATTTTATTTTCATTTTTGTATTTTATATTTTATTAATTTTTATTATTTATTTATGACATTAAAGGTTAACATGTTTGACCCAAAATTTGAACTATCGATCTTTGCCAAGTAGTAAAATAATTTCATTTTTTATAACTTCTACAATATGCATTTTATTTTCATTACCAATAAAAATAATTTTTGTTTAATATATTTATTTTTTAATTTGATTAATAAAAATATCATAAATGTGTCTAATTTTTCTACATTTTTTTTTGTAAGCTTTCATATTTATTTCATTTTAAAATTTTTTTTACCTAATTATGACTTTGTAGGTTGATCAATTTGATTCAGATGGTTGAATTGCTCAGCCACCACTTGGATTAAAAATGGTTTTGTTTTTGAGTCACTTTTAAAATGTATGGGTTTATATTGTTAAAAGTCTTGATATAAATATAATTTAATAAGAGAAAATGAGAGTTAATAATTTAAGTATAAGACTTAATGAGAGGAAAATAAATGAGGTGGGAAGTAATAGTTGAAGTTACATTTTCAACTCATACTATTAGAGATGAACTAAATAAACAATTATGGGCATTTTAGTAGCCAATAAAGCTAGCATTAAAGCTGTAATAAAATGGTTTTTATACCCTCAAAAGATGTAAAAATAATTTTAGTAAAAAAAAATTTCATATTGTATTCACACTTGTATATATAGCATAGATAGGCTCTTCAAGGCCTTTTGCCCGCTAAATACAAAAATATCCCCAAACTAGCTGTTTATAACTGTTGAAAGGATATTTAAATCACTTATTACCTACTTTTTTTTTGTTTTTTTATAAAGCCAAGAGGGGCTTTATCAAATAGCCGTTGTTAAGATTAAAATAGCTTGTTAAATCACTTATTACCTAGGGCCAGGGGGTATCCCACATGCTGGGGGGAGATTATTGGATAGGTTTAAATTCAGTAGAGGTTGAAAATAATTGTTAAGAATTTTAGGGAAGGTTTAAACAATTGGAAAGAACTATGTTGCGAAAAAAATATGATATGGTCAGAGTTTTGACCAATCAAAACCCACCTATAAATTTTGATAAATAACACCTCATTGACTACTACCTTTATGATTCTAATTCACTGGTCAGAATTTTTTCAGATATTATATCCTTTCCATATCATAGTCGAACCCCAAACAATTATCTATACCTTACCATTCATTAAAGGAACGCATTAAAGATGGGGCCATCACTCATCAGCCATAGGGAAATATCCAGTGCGTTTGCACGAGGCAGTCAAGTCATTAGCACATAAAATAAGTGAATAAAACTATTTTTTCCATAATCGAAAGTGAAGTTGATGACTTGATTCAGGCGCTCAGGCTCTTCTGCTGAGTCGTTCTCTCTTTTCCCTCTCCCGCGTCCATCGGCTTCTCCGGATATGGTTTTGAACTTTTGATTACTATGGTCTACACTCTAGAGTAGCGGCTATCTCCGCTGTTTGGCTTATCCTTATCCTAATCTTTCATTGTAGTCAGAGAAGGAGAATCACATCTGATTTCTCTCCGCTCAGAAGTCCCAGATGAAAGAGTAAAAGCTGCGGAGCGGATCATGGAGGAGTATTCGCCGGCGATACAAATCTTGAGAATGAAACGAGTATTTTTTTTCTAAGGCAGATCGGCAGCAGTTACAGTAGACGTACGTGAACGAGAATCTACTCACCCGCCGCCCAGGTGCCGGCTATCATGACAGAGATCCAACGTCCTATACTTACGAGAAGTATCGCAAACAACAAATACGCTTACATTCCTGATACTTTCACTACTCTTGAGCAGGTCTGCTTCTTCCTTTCCTTCCTCTCTCTTCCACCAAAATTGTTAATCGGCCGGTATCGTACCTTTCCGGCATCATATATATTTGTTAATTTCATGTTCCTGCCTGGTCAATTTAATTGTTCGACCTGCTTGCGGAAATATCTTGCTAGACCTGATTTCTGCTTGAGTGATTGTCAAAGAGGAAAGGTCTTGCGTGTCTGCACTCCCCAAAGTGGGTGGGGATTGGGGAAAAGGAGGAGGAAGGAAATGACTTGCGTGTCCCCAAGGGAGGAGGGAAATAAAGAAATGTTTCGGGGTCACAAGTGGGAAGACATTACAGATTTTAATTGGTTGGTGGTTGTATTTTGAAGTCTGTGTCTTTGTCTTGAGTCTTGACAATCTATCAGTACAGTAGTCGGACTGACCACACCACTCACGAGTCGCGAGACGTTTTTCTTAGGTTAAATTGCTTAGACCACCCTGGAAGTTTAGTAATTACAATCATTTTGAGCTCGGGTAAACTCTCCAAGAGTCACGAAAATGTCTAAAATACTCATTGTTATAGTTGATTTTTATAAAAAAATCATACAAATTTTATGAATAATAAAAAATAGTTTAAAGTTGTAATTTAACTTTGAGTCATTTGGTACGAAAGATAATTTTGAAAAATAAATCAATTTTTGGAAGGGTTGAGTCCGGGTTGAGGCAGTGACTGATATGAAGAAAAAATTTAGAAAATAAACATTTTGGTCAAAAGTAACTGAATTAATATTTTGGACATTTAGTGGCTATTATTAGAAGATTTTAATTAGAGAGGATCTAATTGTAACTGAATGAGAGAAATTCAAGAGAGGTGATTGTAATTATTAAACTTTAAGGCTGCATGTGGAAGCCATATAAAAAGTTATGGATGTTAAAGTTTACGTTGGTCAAGATTTGTTGGCTTTGGATGAAGTTGAGTTTTACATCCTATCGAAAATAAAGTTTTACATTGATTATCGATGTAAATACTATATCGATAAAATTGATGTAAAAACTCTACACTTTTCAAAGCTAAATGGTAACTTTTTTATGGTTTGGTATAAAATCTCATCTATGAACTTTTATATTAATGATGTTTTATATTGCTTCCAAACACAACCTAAGGGAGGTTTCAGCAAAGGTAAAAAAATTTTAAAAGAGGTTTTAACAATTTACCACTCTACCTATTAATTTACACGCTTAACTATAAAATTCTATAGAGCTACAGGGGTAAGCTTTAAGAAACAGAATCAAGATAGAAATAGCAATTTTACCGTAGAACTCAAAGACAGTTTTACATTATTAAGATAGAAATAGCAATTTTATGGTTGACATCAAAGACAGTTTTATTATCACTGAGAGAGACTGATAGCAGAAGGATGGAATAAGTAGTTTAGCCCCGATTGACTTGGGGATCTCATGTCAATAGAGGTTCCAACACCCAACCAATATGATCTTATACACATCTCACTATGAGACTGGGACCCACCATGATGGATTTAATTAAGATGCCCACCAAAAAAGGGGTGACTCAGTCAATAATAAATAGGTTGATTTGACTATTATGCCCCAAAACATGATATCTAAAAATCTTTATTTATTTATTTATTTTTTTTCTGAATAAATAAGGGGAGATTCAGTAGTTGATCAAACTTTTCAAACAAAAAAGTAGTTGACCAAAAACTCTATAAATAATTCATTCCAATATTAGTTGATGTTTGGGAATGATTAAGTTAAAAATAAGTGTTTATTGAATAAATGCTTAAAAACAAGTGCTTATTTGAATAAACATTTATTTGTATTTGGTACCCAATTTTTTCAAATGCTTATTTTTTAAAATAAGCACTTATTTTATATTGGCGTTTGGTAGTCTTTTTCTCTAATAAGCACTTAAATAAGCATTTGTGACTATTTTGCCTTTCATTTTCTTTCAAATTTTCAAAATATACCCTTTGAAGGCACTTTTCTTAAATTACTTTTATAAAAACACTTTATGAAAGTAATTTTATGAAAGCACTTTTACAAAAGTACTTTTATAAAAGTACTTTTATAAAAGTTATAAAGTGCTTTCATAAAAGTGCTTTCGTAAAAGTGCTTTCATAAAAGTACTTTTATATAAGTGCTTTCATAAAAATGTTTTTATAATAGTATTTTCATAAAAACACTTTATAAAATTACTTTTATGAAAGTACTTTTATAAAATTTAACTAGGGATAATTTTATAAGTGGTATTTTAAAATTCAACTAGGGATAATTTTGGAAGAAAAAAATTGAATAAGTGCTTATTGTATAAGCACTTAAAAAAAGCTGGAAATTTGAGCTTGAAAAAATAAGCCCTTATGTTTAAAATAAGCACTTCTTTCGAACTTATTTCTCAAATACCAATAAGTGCTTAATGGCCCAAATAAGTACTTACTTTTAAGCACTCGCAAACATGGCCTTATACATGGAAGGGCTTTGACCAATCAAAATCCACTTGTGAATTTGTAAATACCACCTAATTGGCGCGGAAAGAGATGACACTGGGAAGTCATTGACCAACCAAACCCCTCTTGAATTTTGGTGAAAACAAAATGATTGGTTTCTACTTTTATGATGCCGATTGATTGGTTGTAAATTTTTCTAGTATCACATTTTATTGGCATCATGGTACTATGATATCGAAAGGACATGATACTCAAAAACTTATAACCAATGAACGGGCATCATAAAATTGGTAATCAATCAAGTAAATTTTCATCAAAATTTATAGGGGTTTTGATTGGTCAAATCCTTTCCAGACATACCTCTGGGCATCAAAGATTTTCGGTTAAATTATAATTCTGGCTGCGTTTTGTACTTGACGTCTTGCTAGGTGCCACATAGGGGTTTATTATTTTGTTTTATTCTTATAACCTTCTTTCCCTGAATAAAATAATCTGTATACTTAAATATATTTATATATTTTTATTTGTATTTTTTATGCATTCTAGGATACAATTTATTTCATTCATAGTCAATTTTATGCATTTACTTCTTTATTAAATATATTTGTTTTCATATGATCCTCTTTTTTTAGAAATATACTTTGTGTTTTAACCTTTTCTACCTAAATAAAATATTTTTTACTTAATTACTTAATTTACATATATTCTAATCTATTTTTTTTTTCAATATAAACTAATTTATAAACCTTGTTAAATGAATATTTTTCATCATATACAACTTCGTTATCGAAAGAAGATTTTGACAATTTTGTTCATTTTTTATTGCATCGATAATTTCTATTTTGTATTTAAAGTAAAATTATAGATTGGTGATGGGGGACCAATATTCTCACAAAAAGAAACGAATGGACAAGGTGAAGAGAGATATTTAGATTTAAGAGAGATTTTTAAGTGTAAATTGTTTTGTTTTATTTGTGGCCAATTAAAGAACAAAGTTTTTTGAATCTTGTAAAGTATTGTATTATCGGTACGTTTATAGTTTTTATTTTTTCTATTCAATTTATATATGATCCCGTCACCATTTTTGTCTCCTCTACTTCAACTTGAGGTGTGCTGTGGTGAAGTGTACGCCTCACATTATCTCAGCGTAAGTCTCTTGTGACATCTATAAGGTGTTTGAAGACCCTGAGGTGAGGCAGAAACTGCCTCAACTCGAGGTATATGCCTCACCACCTTTTAAAACCATGACCACAAGTGGATTATACCAAGAACAAGGCCAAATGCTAAAAGCTCAATGTATACATTTTTGTAAGTACACAAAACAAAAGTAGGGCACCAATATGCCGGATGGGACGTATCGGGTGTTTCGACCCGGGACCTTTTTTTTAACTTGTTCAGTGGGGTTGATCTAAGGGTCCGTTTGGTGTTTGCAGTCAGAATTGGAATCAAAATCCTTTGGAATCGGAATCGGAATCGGAATCGGAATCAGAATGGTCCATTCCCATAGTCTATTTGGTTCAAACAGAATGTGAATTGGAATCAACAAGAATAGGATTTCTTTCATTCCCAAAGGGAGGGGCAGGGAATGGCCATTCCCTCAAATGGGGAATGCCATTTCAGCAGGAATGAGAATGAGATTCTGATTCCACCCAACCAAACAGTTGGAATCTAAATAGTTAATTCCAATTCCGATTCCAGACCCCTATTCCTGCAAACCAAACGGGGCCTAAGGCTTTTCTACCCCCTGAATATTTGATGTATCGGTGAACCACCGATACGATACGTATTGGCTGACGATATGACGAAATTTGAACCATTCACAAAAGTAAGGTAAAGTAAACAAGGCCAAAATGAAAAAAAAAAGCTCATGTTACATAATTTAATGGACCCCCACCCCCACTGGTTCTTTCTCTTGTACTTTTTTCAAAGTTTTAACTCAGCCAACCAGTCCCTTAGACCTTCATTTCATTGTCAAAGAGATTTGGTGCAAACCAATTCCTCCTAGGGTTGGTAGTTTTTGTTGGGAAGCATTTCTGGAAAGAATCAACACTAGTGATCTGATCCAAAAGAAGAGACCCAAGACATGTTTATCCCCTCACAGGTGTTTTCTTTGTAAAGCTGATGGGGAGACGGGTTTTCACCTATTGGTGTCATGCCAGTTTGCAAAGACTATTTGGAAATGGGCTTCTTCTCTTTTTTGGGTGTAATTGGACCCCTCCATTGAACCTGTAGAGCCATTTTTCTTCTTTTTTCAGGTGGCATCTGAAAAGGGGTAGGACTATGTGGAGATGCCTAAGGGCTGCGGTATGCTGGTCTCTATGGGAAGAAAGAAACTCTAGGATTTTCTCCGAAATAGAGAGAAGTGCTGAAGATCTGAGAAAAATGGTCCATATAAGAGTGGTACAATGGCTGAAATCATCAGAGCTATTCACAGATTATACAGTGGATGATCTGTTAAGGAAATGGGGAGAGATTGCTAGATTCGCCCAGGTCAAAACAGGACTGTGCTTGTCTTGGACATTCAGGGGTTGGGGGTGTGTTTAGGGTTGAGAATGGGAATGTTTCAGCCTTGTC